GGTTGATGGTCTGTGTGTTAGGTCAGGGTAGTGGGTGGTGTTTGGGTTGATGGTCTGTGTGTTAGGTCAGGGTAGTGGGTGGTGTTTGGGTTGATGGTCTGTGTGTTAGGTGGGGGTAGTAGGTGTTGTTTGGTTTGATGGTCTGTGGGTTAGGTGTGGGTAGTGGGTGGTGTTTGGGTTGATGGACTGTGTGTTAGGTGGGGGTAGTGTTTGGGTTGATGGTCTGTGTGTTAGGTCAGGGTAGTGGGTGGTGTTTGGGTTGATGATCTGTGTGTTAGGTCAGGGTAGTGGGTGGTGTTTGGGTTGATGGTCTGTGTGTTAGGTCAGGGTAGTGGGTGGTGTTTGGGTTGATGGTCTGTGTTAGGTGGGGGTAGTGGATGGTATTTGGGGTGATGGTCTGTGTGTTAGGTCAGGGTAGTGGGTGGTGTTTGGGTTGATGGTCTGTGTGTTAGGTGGGGGTAGTGGGTGGTGTTTGGGTTGATGGTCTGTGTGTTAGGTGGGGGTAGTGGGTGGTGTTTGGGTTGATGGACTGTGTGTTAGGTGGGGGTAGTGTTTGGGTTGATGGTCTGTGTGTTAGGTGGGGGTAGTGGGGGGTGTTTGGGTTTATGGTCTATGTGTTTTACTGTGCCCAATGCTCAAAACCAGATAAAGAAATGTAATTAAGGTTTTTGTTCATTGTCAATTCCTCAAATATTAATTCCATTTAATACATGATTAAAACTTTTTCTGTGATAATTAACAGCCAAGATTATACTATATATTATGTTATTACATATACACAAAAAAAAATATTCTCTTATTTCGATAATGATTTTAAACAGAAACCTCTTGTTGGTTTTGTTGTATCGTTAGTATTGTATATAAACATCCCAGTGCCTACATATTAGTACTGATCTTCTCTTGTGAGCATACTGTTTTGTATTTTATTTATTCAGTATACAACACATGCAATTTTTGGTTTGTGTGTGATTCTACTGAAGATACACTTCAAATAGAGAAAATATGGTATAATTAATATTTTGACACAGTTGTGTTTTATAACCTAGAACCTAAATGTTGTCACCATGAGAATTGTCAATTTAATGACCTGGTGACCTCTTGCAGGTTATGGGGAATTCCCATGTGCAGCTTTCAAACTGGCCAATTAATGTAGGAAGAGTTTTTTATTGTCCTGGGAAGAGGATGATATTACTATCATCATGCTTAGACTTTAGTGGAGTGAGGTAGTGAGTGGAACACAGTATTTCAATCACTAGGCTGGATCATTTTCTATAATCTTATAAACCAGAAGTAGAAACAGACATCAGTATTATATAGCTCCAAATCCTTAAAAACTCTGCAGGGCTGCTACAATTAGGGTTATGCCACGGACTTATTTTAAAGTTTTAAACCCAGAATTGTGCCATAGGTAAATATTTAGACAAGAATGAATGGAGTGTTTCAAATCGCCGATTCCTAGTACAGTGAGTCACATCTAAAGAAATATTCTTAGTTCAATACACCCATGAAGGCTTAGACTAGTACTGACTAGGTCATGAGGTCAACACATCAACCGTGATTGTTATGCAGATATAAGCATGTTGCTTTAACACATTTCCAGTCTGCAAAGACTAATGTCAGTTCTAGTGGCTACACATCCATCAAATACCACCAAATCAGTTCAATTTTATTCCATGCCTCAAAGTGAATCAAGTGCTGAAAACAGTTTTTAATGAGTATTTCATCTGATAATGTACTACTTGTATATTTACAGAATATAGCTGATTGCTGCCACTTTCACTATTTGGAGGATATCATAAAACTAAGTAGCAATGTGACTTTCAATCAGATGAAATGGACAGGGAGAATTTTGTAGATATTCAGTCCTAGCAAATGCCATCAAATAATCCTTATAATCTCACTCATCACTTGGATCAAACTTTTACAGTAGTTTATTAGTACAATACTGACCCCAATAGTAGAGATGCATGGTTAGCTTACAATAACAGATAACAAACTGTCAACTGTTTTAAAAATATGCTATTGTATTTGCTTATTAGAAGCACATCTCCAATGGATAAACCATCACTTGCTATAATTTTATACTGGATTATTTAAATATTACTTAATTCAAATTAGACATACCTATGTCATTTATGTAAGCACATATACGGTACCCTACTAATAGAGCAAATACGATAGATAAAATTTGATAAATTATGCAATGGGAGTCTGTTCTACTCAATGAGTAAAACCATCTTACACTCATTATTTATTTTTTCAAAGTCTGCGAAGATTTTTTTCTATAATTATAATTTTTTTCTGATACAATTCATAATATAATGATCCTTGTCACCAATTTGGTTCATACAGTTACATTTTTCAATGGGTAGACTGTGACAGGAATCCTAATTTTTGTAATTGCTACCTGCAGTGTGCTGCATCTTAATTTTTGCATGAGTAAATGTTGCTCAAGCCAGAATTTCGGTATATTTCTGTAACAGGCATAATATGCTTTCCAGATATAGGCCGAATCATAAACTGACATTTGAGTGTGAACATGGCTAGTACACTGAATAGAATACACACATTTTTACCATATTTGAAACAGATTGAACTAAATTTGAGTGTGAACATAATTTACTGCTGAAATTACAGATTAGTGTTGATTAAGCTTATACAAGCAGGTTACCAATAAAAACCACCCATCTCGTATATGTGTTTTTCATAATGTTGCTCATTATTTTCAATTTCCACGGCAACATATTACACATTATATTTAAATAAAAAATGACCATTAATTCACATTTTTCAATTAACTTAGCCAGTGAATATTTATAATTTATTTTCTCTGTGTGGAGTACATGAACATTTGTGTTAAGTGATTTGGAGCCATTTAAACTTGGAACTATTGAAGTGTGAACTCGCCTGGGAAATCAGTGGAACAAGATTACTGTTCTGCTTCTTTGGATTACAGTTACAGCAAAAGTTTAACTCTGTTTTCACAGCAGCTATATTAATTATTGAGCACACTGACCTTTGAACTCAATTGTCATTAGCAACTAACTTGTTCACTGACTTTTGACATTCAATCATTCTATCTTACATAGAATTAACGTTTTAATTATTATCAGTGTTTTCCTAACAGGGAGGGCGTAATACTTGGAAATCAATTAAACTTTGGATTCCTGACAGTATTTTTTTTTTTTTATTTACCTTCTTGAAATGTGTAGAAGTATTTATTATTCAAATTAGACTATTAGAGTGTTTTTATGTTATTTTGTTTTTGTTTTGTTGTAGATGTTTACATAAAACATATGACATATCAAGTCTTCCACAAACATCAATTATTATCACATTCCATAATGAGGCAAGGTCTACTTTGCTGAGAAGTGTAGTAAGGTAAGATGGCCTTTAAGTTCAAGATTTTTAATTTTCATCCTACCATATTAACCCTTTGACTAATGTCAAAGTCATATTTTGTTGTCATTCACAAAATTAAGCCGCAACAATTTTTTGCATACTTTTAAAAAATTATGATCAAAGTTTGTAGCAAATAGATAGTGATGTTCATTTGGTTAAAAATTAATGAAAATTTATATTCAAAATGATTAATAAATTCAAAACTAGATCTCAGTTATCATATGTTTTTATTTTCAGTGTCTTGAATAGAAGTCCACTTCAACTTATAAAAGAAATTATACTTGTAGATGATTTTAGTGATAATGGTGAGTATTATTTATATTATCAAATTATGGCTAAAAGATGTTCTCTATTGATCAACGACTATAATCATTGTAACTAATTATTTTTTTCAGCTGAGGATGGTCTTTTATTAGCACAGTTACCAAAAGTAACAATTTTAAGAAATTCAAAAAGGGAAGGTGAGTATTTACATATTTAGGTTTAGCATCTACACTAATATAAATGATGTGTGTAATATTTTAATGATCCAGCATACAGTTAATGCAACTTTTGGTGTATATATAATTATTTGCGTATTTTTCCCATCATTCATTGCTCCCATCATCTTTGCCAGCATTGTGATTACCAATTACCAATCGTGCATGTCATTGCAAACATTTTGTTGATTCCCGTTTGGGAATACGCATCTGTTTCAAGTTATTAGCTTACTGACATTTTGGTGAATTCTAAGATATTTATTTCATGCTTGCAGGCTGTTTCATGCTCTGAGTAAAATTGAGTTGAGAGTTTGATGACTTGTATCAACTTTTATGCCATCTGGTTGACTTTCTATAATGTAATGTTAGGGCATTGTACTTTATACAATTCTGAATATCTTAAAAAGAACACATCTGTTCGATTCAGTGGTGATCAGGTGACTTTTGAACTTGCCGTCTGGGGGTCAACACATTTGATGTTCTATTGTACAAAGTGTTTTTGTTGATTTTCCTGCGCATAATCAGCCGTGATAGCTGTGATAGATTGTTATATGTAGCAAATGTTACCAAAGTTTCACAGTGCAAATATTCCAAAGTCGCACAGTGCGAATATTCCAAAAGTTGTGCAGGGCTATCGTTCCAAGTCACACAATATGAACATTACCAAAGTCACACTGCTAGTGCAAACATTCTGAAGTCATACTCATTCATATTTGAGCCACTGAAACTTAATTAGAATGCTTCATATAATTCTGAAATCTTAAATATAATTTTTTTAATATGGAAAATGTTTTTTGCATTTATTTTTATGAAGACAGGAATGTGATTTTGCTCAGTAACATGGTCTGTAAACTGTCATTAAATTTAATGAGTTTCTACTGAAATATGCATTTTTCAATTCTCTTTTTCTTCTTCTTCAATAATGCATTATTCATATATGGTCAGTAAATTGAATGCTTGAATTGTGATTTACTGTTTACATCATAACCATATAAGGAATTTCTATTCCTCTATTGAGAGAAAGACTTTCATTCTTAAAATGTAACAATCAGAATCGTCATTTCTGCTACATGTATCACCTTAATTTGCAGTCAGGTCACTGTCTTCGTGTCATATGACTCAATTAACACCTGCGTAATTACCAACAACTCATCAGAGACGAAGAAAATTTGAATCCCAAACAGCAACATCAAAACATTTCAAGTGAAAGAGACTAATTGGACTCCATAGTCGAGTGACTACTGTAAAATACTATATTTTTGCTTGAAATTTAGTGAAAATAAAAACCAGTGAATATACCTATATATATATATATATCTCGCCAAAAATCAGTGAAAATAAATTCCATACAAAACACCCAAAATTTGCTTTCAGCAAAAATTAAGTATTTTTAGTAATTTCTTCTGTAGGTCTTATACGGTCCCGTGTGCGTGGTGCTAATGTAGCCACCGCTAAAGTGTTGACGTTTTTAGATAGTCATATAGAAGCTAATGTCGGCTGGTTGGTACCATTGATGGAGAGAATTCATGAGGTCAGTTTTATTTTTTTATATTTAACCTTTTTCTCAATCTGATTTGTCTTGATTATGATTATATCATATGGTTATTTAAATTAATACATTAAATTCTCTACCTCCCATTCACTAACAGTAATAAATTGTGCGAACTCATAAAATATGCAAATCAATGAAAAAAAGGGAGGAGTGAAGTAAGAGATGTAACTCAGTCTCTTTACCCATTACCCCTACTTCTGTTATTGGTATAATCCAACCTATGTCATGTTTTTTATAGCATATAAAATTAATATAACTATTTATTGTTTTGTATATTTTTTGCACCATTTGTCGTAATACTGTGCTATAATTATTGCATGATCTGAATTTGTGCTGAAATTAATCCAATCTGCATATTGTAGCTTCTAAAGAATAAATTGTCATGTACTTGTAAAATACCTGCATGTTTCTATCGTTTACCCCTAACATGTATTGTTTTGTTTGTTATTTTTTATCTTGCATGTTTGTAATAACAGGACCCTAGCAGAGTTGTCTGTCCTATTATAGACGTAATCAACATGGACTCGTTTAAATATGTAGGAGCTTCCGCTGACCTCCGAGGAGGTATATTTTACTTCTTTTTGTTTCTTTGTGTCTTAGTATCTAACTCAGTTGTTGTGACGATGTGTTCTGAATTGAAGCAAAGTGCGAGATGAAGTTACTGTAAATGACTGTGCTATTTTCAATTTAACTATTTCCAATTTAACTAAGATTTTACAACTTTGATTTAATTTATCAAGTTTACTGACTAAATACATGTGAGAACTCACCATTTAATAATTTGGAAAGTTACTTTCAATATTGTCAATTTTTATGACAGTTACTATAAATGCGTGATGGGATTCATGAATACCATTTAAGCCAGTTTCAGCATGTCTCATTTATGTAGTATTTTAGCACATTTCAAACATGACAAATAGTTTTGCATTTCTAGTCATCAAATGTCTTCAGAGTTTAAAAAACAAACAAAGAAAAATACAATATTGATGACAATTTTATGAGACATAAATCTTTAGCGAATTTACCCCTCCATCAGACCCCCTAACACATATATTTTATAGATTTCTATAAGTCGAATAATACTTTAAAACCAAACATACTCAATTCAATATATTGCTTAGTGCCAGATCAAACATTTTGAGGATTTTGCTCGGATTTTAGTTTTGTTATAAATGATAATGTTGGTTTGAAAGCCGATTTGATAAGAAGATTTCACTAGTGTATAGCACGTTTTATTGAAAGCAAGGATTAGTTTGCTTTGTCATTCAATACATATGCTGTTCTGTTTGAATGACAACGTGTACATAGATAGTGGTAATATTTTACACTATGTAGATACAAAGTGTTTTGTCATTGTAATATTATGTTGCGATAGTTCATAAACTGGAAATTTAACATCTGGTATGGTTAACATTTTAATATTTGACATTCACACACACATTATAAACATATTTGCTTTCAAGTTTTCTTTTCCAGAATTAAGACTGTAACCCCCCCCCCCCCCACACACACACACATATACAAGCATGAATGGTGGATTCAAGTAAATTGTTCCCACATCCTGTTTGATGATGTCATCACAGTAATTGAACTCATTGTTAGTTCAATCGCTCACATATTCTACTGATACAATTCTACATTCCTGAAAGGTATTCAGTCAGGGTTTCTGTCTACTTTGGGTAAACGTTATCCTGCAGTGTATGTATTGCAATGATTACTTATTTTGTTAATGCTTCCCCTGTGCATTATTCAGACAACATAAAACTGGTCCAATTACAGTTTTGTGGTGAAATTGATGTAATTAAAACTGATATCCAAATCTCAGCATTGACGTTTTTTTTTCACTAGAAATTGATCAATTTCCTTGCAATTATACATAATAATATTGATCTTTATTGAACTAGTTTCTACATTAGGAAGCAAAAAGAAAATCAGATATTTTTGTGGGATTTACTTAATTTCATATATTTAACCAAAGACATTGTCTTTGTTAACATGAAAGAAAAGACAAAGTTGTGTTTGATTGAATAATAATAGTTTATTACGCAACTGTGGATACAGTAAGGTAAAAATAGTGTAAAATAAAAGATAAGAAATAAAAATAACTACAAATTTAAAAGGTCTAATAACTACAAATAAATTAGAAAATAATAAAAATACAGTAAATATATCAAAGTAAAGGTTCTCCCTACCCAGGGGTTTACGCAGGCGGTGCTTTGTACATGGTATTTTTTAGATATAGTGAAATAGCAATGGTATTTTTCAGAATTGCAATGGTAAAAGCAAGAGACAGATTGTTCCATGAATTCAATAGACTGACTGAGGATAAAAATATATCTTCTACTGCCACATGTTGTTTCCCCTTATGTAATAGTGTGTATCTGCATCCTAGTTTAGGAATTGCAAATTCCCAATATGTGATATCTCCAAGCTAGCCAAGCGGTTGAATCAAGAAGGTGTATATAACAACAGTATGAATGTTATCAAAAGTAAGCACTCACATAGTGTGTGTTTGCATTGAACTCAACGTTACCTGACTTGTACTGTATTTGTACATACTTGTGGTATTTTCGTGATAATTTCATATTTCAAAATTAATATAAATATGAAAATGTATCCTTTCTGTAATCATTGACAAATTTTCTAAAAGTGAAAAATCAAAATTAAAAAAATAGAACATTGATAAAATAAAGTCAAATTTGTCAGAAATTCACAAAATGTGAGAAATAAATTTTCAAAAGAAATTATTGGATGCGAAATTGATGACGCAAGTCTCGGTAATAACACAAATTGATGATGCAAGTCATGATAGCAACACAAATTGATGATGCAAGTCATGATAGCAACACAAATTGATGACGCAAATCTCAATAACAACACAAAATTTATAATGCAAGTCACGATAGCAACACAAATTTGCTGAAACAGCTGTCCCCATGTAGGAATTGAGGAGTATGCTGATCTTATTTAATAGCAACTGTATATAGTAGTATAGCTTACTAGAAAGTTAAAAGTAATAAATGGTAAAATTGCTGTGCCTTCAAGCAAAACTCATTGTCCATGGAAAAAGACATCATTTACGATCTTATACTTTGTAATTGTGTATCGTTATTTCACTTGTAGTCACTGTAAATACAAGGACTATGTTAGGAATCTATTTATTTAGGTTTCTGCAGACCCACGACTTGTCTTCCATTTATTATGCCTGAAAGAAAGATATACATATTCTATGATTGTTTTTTTCATAATAATGTTCTTATTATTTTTCTAATTTGTAAATTTTATCTTTTTTTATGTCCCCAATTAAAGAAGAATACATCCTAGATATGGGATTGCATTGATACTTCCACTACATCAATCATCAAATCTGTTTTCAGACAGCCAATCCTACTTCTGTTGACAGCTCTCTTCCTAACCTGTATTTTTATTTGTCATATTTTGATTTCAATCTGATGTATTTTCCTCTTTTGTCTGACCTCTTTCTGATCTTGCATTCAATTTGTCACTGTCTGGTTTCCATAGTAACTGTGTCTCCCCCATCTATGTTGTTCAACATAAGCACATACCTGTATGTTAGTGTACACACTGTCTGTACTGATTTCTCTGTCAAGTGCAAATAGTTTGTTTTATTAATTTTAGTTTTAAATGATAAAAATGGTGTTGAAATATAAATAATTATTTTTAATCATAAATCATTCAGTCAAATTTAATTTGAACTAAATAAATACCTGTTCATCTTTTTCTGTCACCTAGAGGATGTTTGAGTCAATGCATGAAAGGGTAAACCATTTGTTTATATCAGTGATTTAATTGTATGAATGAACTCTCAGTTTTTCAATTATCATTCAGCCAAAATCCTATGGAAACAACTTGTGTACATCGTGAGACTGCAGGGGAACCAACACATTATGTAGGTAATCCTCTGCTGTGACCTAACCATTACCTCAGACCTAGACTGTGCCATTACCTCAGACCTAGACTGTGCCATTACCCCAGACATAGGCTGTGCCATTACCCCAGACCTAGGCTGTGCCATTACCTCAGACCTAGACTGTGCCATTACCCAAGACATAGGCTGTGCCATTACCTCAGACCTAGGCTGTGCCATTACCTCAGACCTAGACTGTGCCATTATTACCCCAGACCTAGGCTGTGCCATTACTTCAGACCTAGGCTGTGCCATTACCCAAGACATAGGCTGTGCCATTACCTCAGACCTAGGCTGTGCCATTACCTCAGACCTAGGCTGTGCCATTACCCAAGACATAGGCTGTGCCATTACCTCAGACCTAGGCTGTGCCATTACCTCAGACCTAGGCTGTGCCATTACCTCGGACCTAGACTGTGCCATTACCTCAGACCTAGACTGTGCCATTACCCAAGACATAGGCTGTGCCATTACCTCAGACCTAGGCTGTGCCATTACCTCAGACCTAGGCTGTGCCATTACCTCAGACCTAGACTGTGCCATTATTACCCCAGACCTAGGCTGTGCCATTACCCAAGACATAGGCTGTGCCATTACCTCAGACCTAGGCTGTGCCATTACCTCAGACCTAGGCTGTGCCATTACCTCAGACCTAGACTGTACCATTACCTCAGACCTAGACTGTGCCATTACCCAAGACATAGGCTGTGCCATTACAGACCTTATCTTCGCCAGCCAAGTCTTAGAATATAGAAATCAACAAATGACCCAATTCAACTGCAGCGAAATACAGCTTTTCCTAACACGATCACAAATGGCCGGCTTTAGCAAAACCGTGTGATTTGGACGATGCTCAGACCGAGGTCATGCCATTACCCAAGAAATAGGCTTCGCCATTACCCAAAACCTAGGCTTCGCCATTACCCAAGACATAGGCTGTGCTATTACCCCAGTCCTAGGATGTGCCATTACCCAAGACACAGGCTGTGCCATTATCCCCAATCCAATCCTAGGCTTTGACATTATTCATGATCTAGGCTGTGCCATTACCCAAAATTTTGACTTTGCCATTACCCATGATCTAGGCTGTGCCATTACCCAAGACCTAGGCTGTGCCATTACCCCAGACCTAGGCTGTGTCATTACCCAAGACATAGGCTGTGCCATTACCCAAAACCTTGACTTTGCCATTACCCATGATCTAGGCTGTGCCATTACCCCAGACATAGGCTGTGCCATTACCCCAGACCTAGCCTATGCCATTACCCCAGACCTAGCCTGTGCCATTACCCCAGACCTAGGCTGTGTCATTACCCAAGACATAGGCTGTGCCATTACCCCAGACCTAGGCTGTGCCATTACCCAAGACATAGGCTGTGCCATTACCCAAGACATAGGCTGTGCCATTACCCCATACCTAGGCTGTGTCATTACCCAAGACCTAGGCTGTGCCATTACCCCAGACCTAGGCTGTGCCATTACCCAAGACATAGGCTGTGCCATTACCCCAGACATAGGCTGTGCCATTACCACAGACCTAGCCTATGCCATTACCCCAGACCTAGCCTGTGCCATTACCCCAGACCTAGCCTGTGCCATTACCCAAGACCTAGGCTGTGCTATTACCCCAGTCCTAGCCTGTGCCATTACCCAAGACCTAGGCTGTGCTATTACCCCAGACCTAGCCTGTGCCATTACCCAAGACCTAGGCTGTGCCATTACCCAAGACCTAGGCTGTGCTATTACCCAAGACCTAGGCTGTGCTATTACCCCAGTCCTAGGCTGTGCCATTACCCTAGACCGAGGCCGTGTCATTACCCAAGACCTAGGCTGTGCCATTACCCCAGTCCTAGCCTGTGCCATTACCCAAGACCTAGGCTGTGCTATTACCCAAGACCTAGGCTGTGCCATTACCCTAGACCTAACCCTAGGCTGTGCCATTACCCTAGACCTAGGCTGTGCCATTACCCTAGACCTAGGCTATGCCATTACCCAAGACCTAGGCTGATCATTATCCAAAAGCTAGGCTGGGTCACCTAGGCACCAGCACTTTAGGAAGGATGTTAAAATGATTTCTGAAATAATGAAATTCTTATTTCTCTTTCATTCTTTTTCAATCTTTGTTGGATATTTTCAATTTACAAGCTTTACCTTTAGCCCCCTCCCAATTACATAACTTTTGCCATTTTTGACTTTTCTAATATTCTTGTGGGACTATTAATACCATTTCTCTTTACTTAGAAAAGTGTTACAGTGGACATGCCACTCACACATAAGCTACGGTGTCATTCATCTGCCAACTAGCATTGGCTTTCATGGACTCAGTTGCCTAGCAACACCTCCATGTAGATTTCCCATCTTTCCTTTATTGTCAGGACTCAGCTCGTGTTGTCAGTCCAGTTATTGACGTGATTGACTTGGATACCTTTGAATATCGTGGTGCTACTTTTAGAGGGGATACACTCTTCCGGGGAGGTAATCAGGTTTGCATGGAATGCCATGTTATGGAATAACATTGAGTTGAATTTTGATCAGTATTTTGAGCCTTATCACGTTATCTGATTTTGAATAAAATGCTGATTTGTATTGCTTGAGCTATGATAAGATCACTTTTTAAAAATGTTGCCTCTGGAAAACTCTTTTTTTTTTGGCAAACCTTAGAATTGACATAAAAACAAAAGAATGCCATGAGTTGAACATTGGTGGCGCTATATAACTAGCAAACTGAAAATTCAACAAGCAAATGTTACATTTCTTTTCAGACTTTATACTGATCACAATTTATCTCAATAATGAATATCTATCCAGTTTTTCATTCATTCATTCATTCATTCATTCATTCATTCATTCATTCATTCACTCACTCACTATTCACTTATACTGATCAAGAGCATGTGACTGTCTGTCTTTACTCTTTTGTTATCCAAAGATCACAAACACCTTACACTTTTCTTGATTCTTATATTTGATGTAGTAGAATATATTTCTCTCATTAATATCAGAATGCAATGTTTGAAATCCCATGTAATCCAACTTACTACATGTAGCTACTTCCAACCCATGGCTGCCATTAATGATGATGAGAACATTTTTTTTAACGTAATGCTAAAACCTTATGTTACTTTTTTTGTGTGTCTGCATGAAATGGAATATTAATAGATTTCATCTATTTTGTGAAATGCACTTAATTGATGAGAATCTTTTTTCTGTGTGCTGCCCTTGGGGGCACTGTTCATGTCTGACTTTGATGTTATGTATAGTTAAAATTGTTTACTTTAAAAGGATGACCTAATTTTGCAAGTTTAATAATTCTAAATGAGTATAGTTTGCTATAACTACATTTTTGTACTATGTTGTATCTTTTATAATTTAATTTTGGCAGTGCACTTTATTAACAATTATTGTATTATATGGATTAATAGACGTATAGTTGTTGAGATCTGGTTGAGAGCACCCAAATAGTGTTTCATTCCTTTTCATCATTGTGTTTCGAATGCCATGGTTACAAATACCAGGGAAACAGTAGACATGAGGATAGAAGAGAATGTCTCTCATTCTCAATGAGATCTCAACAGCCGAAGGTCTGTTACTCACTAGGTTTTAATTTTGTTTATTTCTCGGTCTGCCTAAACTGAATGTAAATAGAGCTCGTTTGTTCATTCAAACCCATTATTTTCTGCTTTGAAATGTCCACTGTAGTCAAATATAAACCCAGTGATTACATATGACAGTATATAAATTATTCTTTTTTTTTCATTTTCCCTTGTTGATGGAAATTTTAAAATTTACTCGTATATTATCTTTATTAATATTTGAGGTTTTGATTGGAGTTTACATTTTAAATGGGAACATATGAGTGCTGAACAAAAACGTTCCAGGAAGGATGAGACTTCAGTGATTAGGTAGGACTACTTTATTAACCTTATCACCCCATTATCATATTGTAATCTTTCACATAGTAGTTTTGGCTTCTTGCCATTGCATATTTTTATCATGAAATTGATGAAAATTTAACCAAAATCACTGTATTATTTTGGCAGTTGTCTCTTGCACTGAAAATTTGTAAAATTTTGTTTCAAATATCTGTCATATTGAATAATATGAAGTCACAACTCAAATATATTTTGTTATCTCATTATTTCATTTGAATTACTTGGTAATAATTCTAACGTTCACTTCTTATATTGCATCAATTGGACTATTACTGATCTAATCTTGGTAACTATGGCAATTTGTATTCAGCAAAGAAAATTGTAAAAAGAGTTCTGTTTGTTTATTGTTTCAGAACTCCAATGATAGCTGGTGGTTTATTTGCTATCGATAAAGAATGGTTTAACCATATTGGCCAGTATGATGCCATGATGGATATTTGGGGAGGAGAAAACTTTGGTAAGGTTGATTATAATTACATTTTATTGTACCAGGGCTAGATTGAATTGGCCAATGCGTGGGCTATAGTTTCCATGGTTATATGTCGTAACCTGGTTATGAAATGGTATATGATATCAAAGTACTGTCAAAAATTTTCTACTAAATTAGGCTACGACTAATTTGAATGACAAATTAGATTTTCAAAAACAATCATGGTCCAGATTAATTAAATCATGATGGTTACGGTTACACATAAACTGCTCACTGTGGTTTATGTGCTGTGTTCATAGACAACTTGTTTAACAATGGGAACACGTGATATAAGCCTTTAAGGGTTTCAATCACCATTCTCTCTGTATAGAAACAGATAATGTACAAAACTACAATATGAAAATCATAGTTTCAAAAATCAAAGAATATAGATGTCCCACATTTAGTGGTCTATGTCATGTTCCATATGGCTGCAACAGGTGTTTCCTTGGAAGGCAGTTGCAAGCTAACTTTAATACTAATGACTCAGTATAGTCGCCTACTTCTCTAAATACTATGCTTGAAATAATACAATTTTATGGATGACTCCTTTTTTATTGAGTTACAAAATCTTGGCTCTATGTATAAATAAAATTTGAACACACACCACACAACAACAATAACATGAATTTTAAATCAAGTGCTTTCTTTCTTTTTTTGTTTTCAGAAATTTCCTTTCGTGCCTGGATGTGTGGTGGTAGTTTAGAAATCATACCATGTAGTCGAGTTGGTCATGTATTCAGAAAAAAACATCCTTATACTTTCCCAGAAGGCAATGCAAATACGTACATCAAGTAAGTGTATCAGTAATAACTGTTACTGTAGCATGAACCCAAGGATTGGACAAACATAACACATAATCATGACCAGAAAAAGTTATGAATGAGATAATATTGTTTTCTTGGTGTGAATCAACCAATCAACTACATGTAATATTAGATCACTGAATGCTGCGCATGAAGACATCACCCCTCCCCCGATCACATGTTCATGTATTGACCAATCAAAGCAGCTGTTATTTATGATGGCTAATATAATTCAATTTTTGTGACACAGGAACACAAGAAGAACAGCTGAGGTGTGGATGGACAATTACAAAACACATTTCTATGCAGCAAGACCTTCAGCAAAAGGAAAACCATATGGAGAGTATGTCAGATTATTCATATACTAACCCTAACCCCCTCCCACCAAAAAAAAAAATTTGAAAGGTGTGAATGTCACTCATTTTTAGTTTTGTTGTCGTTGTGCTATTTTCGACTTCTTTTTAAAAACTAACAGCTCAATTGCTTTGATGCTTGGTATGTAGGTGCCAGATGATAATTGTAATTGCCATGGCAACAACCATATGAAGTACCATGGCAACTAATAATTCATCATACAGAACATTATCAACTTTGTTTTGACGAAGACATTCTTCAAAGACAGCAGTGCTATTTCGACTGTGAGGACCCTTGTTTTGTTATGTTTTGCCAAGAAAAAAATATTAGAAGAAAAAAGCGTATCTTCACTCTAATATCAGGACTTAAAATGTATGTTTTTTTTGGTGTAGTAATAATATATTAATAACTATTTTTTTAATAAATTTTGCAGTGTTGAAGACAGAAAAAAATTACGAGAAAAACTTAAATGTAAATCTTTCAAGTGGTATTTAGAAAATGTCTATCCAGAGTTAAAGTGAGTATTATGGGGTTATTACGAAAATATCGACCAGAGTTAAGGTAGCGGGACTATTACTTGCATACTTGTTTTCATCTTCCAGTTGTGACTAAATGACTACAAATAGACCCAGGAAAGTATATATTTTTAGAATCACCAGACTTCAAGCTTTTCACAAGTGTATTTTGCATGCCCGTATCTGCATTCTACGACGCGTTACTCAATCAAAGGTGAAAAATTACTTTTTCTGTAAAAAAAATGATTACGCATTTATGCTGGCGATAAGAAGTATTTTTTTCACTTTTCCTAGTTGTTCAATAGTCAGTAATGTGAATGTGTCTGGTCAGTTTTATTCAAGCAACGAGTTTTAAAAATAATGTGCTGAATTTCAATTACTGTTTTAG